GAGGTGAAGAGCTGAGCCCAACATAGAATATGGAATGCGGCCCTGCCAGCTCTATTCCTTACCACAGTCCGGCATGTGATGGAAGCTGGAGCGAGCACACAATGACGGAATTTGAAAGTGTAGGCGAAGGGGGAACTGAGATGGTGGTAGAAAATGGCTGGGCAATCTGTCTGAATACCTGAAGTCGACTCACGACTCATCTCGAGTGTGTTGTGGCTATATGTGGCGGTAGAACGGACAGGAATAATGGCTGGCAATTTGTTGCGCGTCACATGAACAAGGCCGAGCCAACCCCTTCTCAGCTAGCTGGCTGCTGGATGGCTTGACACGACAGGGCTGGTCGGGATCCAGTTTATTTCTCAACGAATTTCACGCTTTTTTTGCATAGCTCCTCACAGGCTAGGTCAGGCAAACCCAAGATCAGTGAGAGCCTATGTATGTGACAGCATGGCATGGTGAATGTCCCAAGGAGAGAGAAAAAGAGCAGCACAGGAAAGGCCAAGCAGGGCAATGATGCGTCGAGGGGCAACAAGTGTCTTGGCGTTGTGCTGATTTCGTAAGGCCATTCGCCAACAAAGTTAGACATCCGACTCTGACACATGCATGTACGATCACCACGGTTCGTACCCTAGGAGCAATGCAGTGGAATGCCGAGACCGGGAAGACAATAGAATTGCTCAAGTATTGACTAAGAAGTTAATATGCTTACCTCTATTTAGGGTTTTTTTTTTAACTGTCGTGCTTTCGCGGCGGCTCACGGAACGACTTAGCAGCAGCGGCGGAGATTCAGTCGATCTGCAGCGCGTGGCTTGCGATGACGAGGCTTGGCAATCCTGAAAGTGGTGAGAGGGAAAGGAGGCACGGGACGAGCGGGACCAGGCAAGTTTATAATGCCAGTAGATATTGGGCCCAACAAACCAAGATGCCGAGTATTACTCACATCGGCCGCTGTTCGTGGCTACATCCTAGCAGCACGAGAAGAATGAGGTGCGAGTTGTACAAGGGGAGGAGCTTGGGAGGTGAGACCAGAGTGAGCACAGCGTAACGACAAAAGCGCTTTCGAAACGATAAGAGAGTGTCCGATCTGCGTCAAATTGCCCGTAAGAGCATGGAAGCGTGACGCCTCCACGTATGACTGTTTGATGTTTTCCTTATTGCGCTAAGCTCTGAGAACGTGGAATGGAGACGGGGAGGCATAGGTACGGGGATGCGGGAAACAGAAGGTCAAACGCATTGGCGAGTGGAGGAAGAAGATGACTGAGTAGTGCTAGTGTGCAATGCGATGACAGGACCAGCCTTACCTGTTTCTAGGGTTTCGAAAAATGAAACGTCGCGCCGAGAGACTGCTACCACAGACACTTGAGCCTTGCAACGGGTGTCGGACACGCCAAACGATCTGAATCGCGCAATAATGATCCTTATTGGAGCGACTGCATGGCTTTGTAACAATATTATAGAAGGGAGAGCGCAGCTGTGAAGCTCACTCTGACAGAGGGGTAAAAAGACGGGAAGATAAGATAGCGTGAGGAGAGGAGAAATAATAAGGTAGCAGGATGAATGGTACTAACTGCTACGCGACGCGGGTTCGAAACTATTGCTTCTAAGGCGACTAAGGTTCTTGGAATGAGTACGGGAGGGTCGTGTTGTGTGTGCTTGAAATTGCAACAGCAGCAGTCAGTCGAGTATCTAACACAGGAAATTTGGCTTGCAACCTTGCCTTATTGAAGCTGGGTTACCAGCCTCACGTGATTCGACGAAGAGAGTACGATTTTGTTGAATATGCATCGGGGGGGTTACCGCGCGAATTTCGTCATCTGAGAACAAATCATGTATTCGAAATGCGACTTTTCCTCGAGTTGTCGGTAGTAGCACTCTCGAGGTACCTCAGTTCGTACCACTCAGGGCCGTGCTAGGACGAACATGGAACGACACAGCTCTCGCTTGTGTCAATCCTCGCTTCGCGGGACTGATAGGTGGCTATCGCGAAACCGGGTGGTAACCACTAAAAAACACAATTGGCTATGCTCTGGAGGCAACACATGTGTCGAACTTGACACGAGTGCCTGGTTTTGAACTGCTCTTTCCAGTGTCGTTTCCACGCCAAGCACGTGTCACTAAGGTTGCACATAGATGCACATCGTGAAGCTGCAACGTCCCACCGTGAGAAAAGGTGACCCGAATCGCCTCTACGAGTCAATACGAACGGGCAACGCCGATACTTCGTAGCCATTCGTAATCTCTTCCGCGTATCGTGTCCGCTCGTCATTTCCCCTGGCCCGCCCGTCTCTTTGCCTTCTTCCCTCACATCACTCTCGAAATCGCAAGCCTCGCCACCACGCAGCGCGCTCTGCATATCGACTTACCCGCGCCGCTGCTGAGTCACATCGAGAGCCGCGGAAATACGACAGTCCAAGCAACCCTAAAGTCGAAACCCTATATAGACTATATAGAGGTAAGCCTCCCTGTCGAAACCCTCAGCCGGCCCTCCGCATTCAAGCCTTGCAAGCATGAGGCTCGTAATTGACGAATTATGGTGTTGGTTGTGTCAGAGCCCGATCTGCAACTCGAATTACGAACCGAGTCACTTCTGAATTCTGCACACCGCCACTAGCAGAGCCCCTTGACGCATTGCCCCTCTTAGCTTTGTTACCCTGTCCCCTTCCTGTGCTGTGTTTCCAAGCCTTTTCTCATGGAGTCACGCTGTCCCTCATCCAGGCAATGACGCGTAACTATTAGCCTGAACCTTTCCCTGCTGCTATTTTTTTTTCGAGGCTCGTTCACCACGCTGTCACTGTCCTAGGCGCTGACTGACCTAGGCTCGGATTGACCTAGGCGCTGACTGACCTAGGCTCGGATTGACCTAGGCTCGGATTGACCTAGGCTCGGAATGGCCTGGCTTTGATGATTGACCTAGGCTCTCATTGATCCCCCGGTCCCTTCACGTGCTGTGTTTCCTCTCCCTGGTTCAGACGCTCACGCTGTCAATGTTTCAGGCTCTGCTGACCTTGCCGGTGACTCACCTCAGCTTGCGACCAACCTAGGCGGTCAGTGACCCAGCCTGTGACTGATTTTGCCATGTCCGACCGAAATTGTCTGACCTAGCTTGTGACTGACTGGCGTGTGACTGACTAGCCTGTGACTGACTAGCGTGTGACTGACTAGCGTGTGACTGACTAGCCTAGACATGTGCATAGGGCAAGTCGATTCGGCCCTGACTTGAGTCAACTCGCGATTTGAAGTTGACTTGACCTGGTAATCCAGTTGGGCGATGCATTGACCATTTGGCCCAGCCCACTTGAATAGGCTCGTATCGAGTCAAAACTGACTCGATTTAATTCTTCGTCGAGTCGAGTCAAAACTGACTCGCTGCTTGTGCCTATCTTAGAGAGAGGTTGTCCTGGCCTGCAACCGACCTAGGTTGTGAGTCAACCAACCAGCCTATGACTGACCCATTGTGCCTGACTCAGCTGTAAGTGACCCCACCTGTGAGTCTCTGATTACTATAGCCCATTGCTGACCTAGCTTTTGTTGGACCTACTCATTGCCAGTAATGCTTTTTCGCATGGGCTGACTTGTTACTCGTCCCAAAAGACAAGTAAGAAAATACTTGCAGTGCGACAGCAGTTGGTACTCGCCGCCGCACCAAAAATATCCCATGGTGAACTCTTTTTCTTACATGAAACATCAATCTGCTCCCTTTCCTCCCCTCCCCCCCCCCCCCCCCCCCCCCCCCACCCCCACCCCCACCCCAGTAAGCGGTATTTCGCTTCGCTTGTCAGCGAGCTAGCCACTGAGTAACCTAGCCTTAGGCATTGTTATTAAGCTATTTTGTGAGGAACTTAGCCTCTGTTTGACTTGGCTTGTGCTTGATCTACCTGGTGACTGACCTACTTTGTGACTGACCTACTTTGTGACTGACCTACTTTGTGACTGACCTACTTTGTGACTGACCTACTTTGTGACTGACCTACTTTGTGACTGACCTACTTTGTGACTGACCTACTTTGTGACTGACCTACTTTGTGACTGACCTACTTTGTGACTGACCTACTTTGTGACTGACCTACTTTGTTACTGACCTACTTTGTGACTGACCTACTTTGTGACTGACCTACTTTGTTACTGACCTACTTTGTGACTGACCTACTTTGTGACTGACCTACTTTGTGACTGACCTACTTTGTTACTGACCTACTTTGTGACTGACCTACTTTGTGACTGACCTACTTTGTGACTGACCTACTTTGTGACTGACCTACTTTGTGACTGACCTACCTACTTTGTGACTGACCTACTTTGTGACTGACCTACTTTGTGACTGACCTACTTTGTGACTGACCTACTTTGTGACTGACCTACTTTGTTACTGACCTACTTTGTGACTGACCTACTTTGTGACTGACCTACTTTGTGACTGACCTACTTTGTTACTGACCTACTTTGTGACTGACCTACTTTGTTACTGACCTACTTTGTTACTGACCTACTTTGTGACTGACCTACTTTGTGACTGACCTACTTTGTTACTGACCTACTTTGTTACTGACCTACTTTGTGACTGACCTACTTTGTGACTGACCTACTTTGTTACTGACCGACCTTGTGACTGACCTACCTCGTGACTCACCTACCTGGTGACTCACCTAGCCTGTGTTTGACCTACCTCGTGACTGTCGTAGCCTCCAACTGACCTAATTTGTGATATGCCCTGGTTTCTGGCTGATCTACCATGTGACCAAAACATACAATTCAAGTCTCCCTCTCCTGCTTCTCCTTATCTGCTTTCTTTCTTCCATCACTGCCACATCCCTCATGCCCGTGTAATTGGCCTTGTACGTGACCCTTGTCCCTCTTTTCTTTCTATGTTTCTCCTTTCTCTCATGACGCCCAACCGCCGTCAGCATGTGTCTTCTTACGCAAGTCTGCAGTGAAAAAAGACAGCTGAACGCAGGGGGATCAGCCGGTAGAAGTGTGTTCTTTGAGGGGAGCGTGTGGATTATATGGCTGCCGAGGGAGTGACGACTGCAGTGACTGAGTCAGTCAAAGAAGCGGTGCTGGCAGCAGTGAGAGAGGAGCTGGCTGCACACAAGGAGGAGGTGGATGAGCTGCGGCACATGCTGACAGCGGTGAAGGGGGAGTTGGTTGCGGTGAAGGGGGAGTTTACAGCGATTAAGGGGGAGCTGGTAGTGGTTACAGGGGAATTGGCAGTGGTGAAGGGGGAGTTGGCAAAACACAAGGACGCTATGGCAGAGAAAGTGACTGAGAGTAGTAGGGCATTGGATGGAACAGGGCTGAAAGGGAAGAGTAGAAAGAGAAAGCAAGAAATCACAGCGGATGTTGCACGGGAGGAGGAGAGGAGGAGGGAGGTGCAGGAGTTGAATCAGCTGCATGCCACGGAGGACCTGGCGGCCTCTAAGGAAGGGCCGAAGAAACGAAACCTGAAACTGAATGTTGCGCTGCAAATCAAGCAGAGTAGAGGCGACCAGAAGACGGCATGGAAGGTGTGTGTTGAGTGAGCCATCCACGCCCTCTCCATCCATGCCCTCTCCATCCATGCTCTCTTCATCCATGCCCTCTCCATCCATGCCCTCCTCATCCATGCCCTCTCCATCCATGCCCTCTCCATCCATGCCCTCTCCATCCATGCCCTCTCCATCCATGCCCTCCTCATCCATGCCCTCTCCTCCATGCCCTCTCCATCCATGCCCTCTCCATCCATGCCCTCTCCATCCATGCCCTCTCCATCCATGCCCTCTCCATCCATGCCCTCTCCATCCATGCCCTCCTCATCCATGCCCTCTCCATCCATGCCCTCTCCATCCATGCCCTCTCCATCCATGCCCTCTCCATCCATGCCCTCCTCATCCATGCCCTCTCCTCCATGCCCTCTTCATCCATGCCCTCTCCATCCATGCCCTCTCCATCCATGCCCTCTTCATCCATGCCCTCTTCATCCATCATTTCCAGCAAATCAAGTCCGCATCACGGCGAGCGGAACTGAGTCTGAAGAGTTGCGACGGCGTCTCGGATGCCATGCTCGGGCATGTGTCCACCATGACACGTCTCAAGGGCATTGACTTGGAATCTAGCTCGGGATTCAGTGCAGAGGGCATCAAGCACCTCTACAGGCTGCCACAGTTGGAGACGCTAAACCTCATGAGTACTCATGTCCCAGACAGTGCCTTCGAAGGCATTGGGTCCTTGACCAGTCTGAAGGAGCTCTATCTCTTTGAAACCAAGGTGACTGATGCTGGTCTGGCACACTTGACTGGCCTCTCCTCTCTCAGAGTGATGTGGCTTTCTGGGTGCAAGGGTGTGACCGATGTTGGTATGGCGCATTTGGGAAGGCTGATAGGGCTTGCGCATCTTTGGTTAAATGGCACGTCAGTCACGGATGATGGGCTGCAGCAGCTCACTGCCCTGACCAAGCTGAGAATTCTCAATACTGGAGACGGGGATTTCCTTGAGAATGATGCTGTGCGCAGGCGGATAGGCAGGTAGGGTGGCAGGGAGTGATGATGCAAAGGGAGGTGATGTGAGGGAGGAGTTGACTGAGGCTGTCGAGGGGAGATTGAGGAGAGGCGTGGAGGGCAGGGGTTTTAGATTGAGGGGAGGCATGAATGCGGAGGAGTGACACATGGAATGGTGGTTGTGCACGGCTCAACTTGCATGTTGCAGCGAGTTGGACAACGGGAGTGTGGAGCTCGTGCCTTGCAGCTGGATAGCAGCAGGTGCAGGGCTAATTGGGCTAGAGACCACTGTGTGCATGAGGCGAGCTACGTAGGAAATGTCTGCCTGGCATCGCTTATGATGAAGGGGGGAGCGGTGATCAGCAGGGGGAAGTGATCATCAGCGAGGAAGGGGAAGGGGAGGGGGAGGGAGGGTTGAGGCGGAGCAAGAGGGGAAGGGGAGGGGAGGCGGGGAATCTGGGGACAAGGGAGAGCAAGAGAGCAGTGAGGAAGGATGGAGTGGCAGCAGCAGTGGCAGCGGACGTGGCGGCAGCATTGGCAGCAGCAGTAGTGGCTGCAGTAGTGGCTGCAGCAGTGGCAGCAGTGGCAAGAGCAGCAGCAGCAGCGGCAGCAGCGGGCGGGGGTTAAGATCAGGAGTGAGTAGTGCTTCGCATGGCTGCATGAGGGGAGGTGCAGAAGAAATGCCAGGCTGTTTGGGTGCAGGGCGTACAAGTATCTTCAAGAGGAGAGAGTGAACATTAGCCGATAGGCAAAGAGTGGAAGTGTGTGCAAGTAGGTGGCTGGACAAGGCCTTGCTTGTAAACAGCCTAGGGTAGGATAGTAATTTGTGAACTTGCTTGCGCCCTCCCCTCGTCCTGTCCTGAACTGAGACTGAACTACTGGTAATTTTGCTGGCTGACTTGGGATGCAAGCTTGTGTATGCCATACTTGATTATGTTGTGAAATTTAAAATGCCACAGGCACATGGCAGCACACCCGCAGGCACATGGCTGCACACATGCCATGCGTGCAGGTGGCTTCTCATGTGATTGCAGGCAGGGCGAGGCGAAGTGCCGACGCAGAGGTGAGTGATGCTTAGTATGCAGAGAAATCTGAACAATTTTATCAACCACTCTCTCTTCCTCCATCCATTGATGTTGCTGCCATGCCTCCCAAATTTTGCTCCCTCGCCCCGTCCCCACCCAATATGGTGCTTGTGGCTCTAGTCTGCCTTGATGGAATGCTTAATGTTTGCACCGTTTTCCCCCAAGTGCAATGCCAACATCAGCTATCTTCCACTCCCATCTCCTCGCTCATCAGTAAGCCTCTACCTCCTTCACACTCTCCCCCTCATTTTCCTTCCCCTTTCCACACCAACAGCACCACAAGCGTTTGAGGGGTGGAGGAGAGGAGGCGGCGGGGCGGCTGGGGCTGGGCGCTGGTATGTGCGTTGGTATGTGGTATGGTATGTGCGTTGGTATGTGGTATGTGGTGGACAGAGGAGGGCAATGTGGTGAACCGGATGGTCATGACCATGAGGATGCTCAACAGGCTGCGACATGGCGGTAGAGATGTTCTCGTGCATCCAAGGAACAGGTGGGCAGTACGGGCATCCAAGGATATGGAGTAAGAAGTACGACGTGGTGTTCACAGTGGGTGTGGCTTGTGCTTCACAGTCACTTGGAAAGTGTTTAAATCTGCTTGGGGTGGAGGCAGTGCGGGAGACAAGGAGTATGACCTCGTGTGCTGGTGAGTTTACTTCGGCCTCGTGGTGAGTGAACTCGTGCGTTTCAACAGCTTCCATGGTGTTTCACGTTGATGGGGCGGAGACATGTGATGTGACTATACCTCGAGAGATGTGACTATACCTCGAGAGATGTGACTATACCTCGAGAGATGTGACTATACCTCGAGAGATGTGACTATACCTCGAGAGATGCATGGTCCGTGTTTTCTGGTCATGTGATGCCCCCCTCCTTTGCGGCTTCACCCTTCCAGGCCTAGTATGGTGTTTCTGCCACCCGATCTCTGACAAGGCAGAATGAATTCGAGCACTGCCCTCCCATGCGCAATGCCAGCATCAGATATCCTCCACTCTCCTCTTCTCACCCAGTGGTATACCCCTCTTCTTTTAATCCCCCCCCAGCGCTTTCTGCCCCCCTCCAGCACTTTCCACCACACCAACAACACCTGCCTAGTATCGGCCGTAAGGAGCCCAGCTCGTGGCTGCGACATGGAGGCAGCTGGCGACCTGCAGCAGCATCAGTGGTGGCGGTGAGGGCGGTCAGCAACAAGCGGGGTGGAGGCAGGCGAGGAGGGAGCCTATTCATCTCAATTCAAGGAGGGGCCTGGCAGCATGGCAGGGCTATGGGATGCAGCAGCAGTGGCGGTGAAGCGAAGTCGGTCACCCGCCTGCATGTACTCACGTGAGCAGCCCATCTCATCTGTGCGGCACACCAGGCGGGCAGCATGGCAGAGTCTTGATGGAGCAGCAGTAGAGCAGGCAAGAAATCTATATCATTTTCTCTCCGTTTCCCTCACCCGCATCCATTGCTACTGATCAGGCTTGTCTCAGTTCGTGCCTTTGCTGATCGCACCCTGCATTGTCTTTTGACATCTTGTTGACGAGACGAGGCACAATGAACCAGAGCACTGCTTCCCCATGCATCTCATTCCAGCGCTCGCCGTCACATCCACACTGCTAGTGACGAGCGCCAGTTTTCAGCGCTCCTTTGCTGACGATGCAGAATGAATTCAGGCACTGCTTTCCCAAGTCCAGTGCCATCAGCTATCTCCCACTCCCCCTTCTCGCCCTGCAGCATGCCCCGACCTTCTTCCCTTTCTTCCCCACACTCCCATTCTGTTCTCGGGGATGAGCAGGACCTTCTTCTGGAGCAGGGCTCCCCACGGCAACAGCACTCTCCTTGTGGACCTGTGATGAGAAGCCCTGCTCATCCCTGCGGCACACATCCGGGTAGCATGGCAGAGTCACTGGAGGCAGCAGCAGCACTGGTGGCGGTGGAGACAAGAAAGAGACGCGATTCAGTTTAGCTGCACACTGCTTATTGCACAATGTTGGAAGTGGGCAAGAGTGAGGTGTGGTAGGGAAAGGAAAGTCAAGGCAGCAGAAGCTGTGGTTGTTGTGACCTCGTGTCAGAGTACACTTAGCTGCAGGCTGCTCCTTACATGCTGGTCACGAGGGGCTTTCGGGCTGCATGTGAGGAATGAAGAGGTGCGAGCACATGGCATCATCACACCCCGTGGAGGAGTTTTTTAGCATGTCTTTGTTGCTACACCTACAGGGCAGAGCGATGTGGACACTTGCCACTTGAGACTGGTGAGGAGACTGGATGGAACCAGGTCAGGGGGGACTTGAATTGACCCGATCTGAAGTTTTGCTGCTTCTCACTTATCAACGTGCTTGAGCAGTGAGGGGCGGAAATGAGTAGCAAGCTCAACTTGGAGATTCAGATTGAACTCCAACTTCCCTGTTGCGGCTTTGATCATGGACCCGCGTGGCTCAAGTCAGGTGGGTCCCCCAGAGAATCTTTTGGCGAACCAATGGCCGGGCCGTGCTCTACTGGTTCGACCAGGGTAGGGTTGAACCTTTGGATCCGGTACAATCTAAACCAGGAAATCCTTCAGGGATGAGGTCACTTTGGCCCGAGTTGAGCCTGGCTAGGTTTGATCTGGGCCGTTTTGGCCCTGGTTCTGCCAGGGATGAGCTGGGGTTTGACAAGTTGCACATGCCTACCCTGTGGTGCTTGCCACCCTCTAGAGCATGTGCACCTAAATCAGGATTGGGTGATCGTTGTCATGCAAACCAGTTATGGCGCAAGCATGGTGGGTGAGGAGAGAGGGTCGAGTAGCACTGAGAGCCGACCATCCTCGTGGCTGCTCATAATGGGTGTTGCACGAGCTCTTTCAGCCCCCCATTCCCCTCTATTCCCCCTTCGACTCTGTGCTTCACCACCCTCCCATGCTCTGTTGTCCAGTCCATGCCATAACTCTACTCTCTCTCCCCGTCATCCCTTTCCTCCCTCACTTCACTTCCCTCCCCGTTTCCAAGTTTTCCAAACACCCCATTCATGCCCGCTCTCATCCTCCCAATCCTCTCCTCCTCACTTATAGCTTTCAACAGTTCAATTGTAAAACTCCATATCGATCCCATTGCAGCTTTTCGGTCTTCCCCTTCTTGCTATTCACCCTGTGCATGAACCAACTGCCCTTCCCCATCTCAGGTCCTCCTCCTCTGCTCCCCACCATCCCAGCCAAGCAGCACCATAGCTATCGCACCCTCAGGCACGACATCTCCCTTTCCCCACATCACCATGACCGCCTGCTATCAAACTATGTCCCCCTCGGTGCCTCAGTCACCCTCCGGTGCTGCTCAAATATGTACCTCACCAGTCTCTCTTCCCACCTTCATACGCTTCCCTCCCCCAACCTCCTCCCCTTTCCCCCCCTACCCTCTCCCACCCTCACCCTCCCTCCCGCCGGTCCCATCCTACACCCCTCTCCCTCCCCACCCACCCTTCTAGTCCTTGGTGTTTGGTTAATGGTGCCAGCAAAGAGGCGCCACATGTGCCATTTTTCGAAGTCCATTATTCTCACCCTCCCGAACCATCCCTTCCCCTGCTCTTTGCCTATCCCCCCTCTGCTGCTTCGAGCAGTGCCATGGCCTCGCCATGATGGCATGGCGTCGAGGGAGGTGAGGCTGTAGAGAGGGCAATTCAGGGCAGTTGATTGTTGTGGCACGGCAGTAATAACTCAATTGAAACGGGAAGCTTCACAGCTTATGTGTTCCATGTTTTTCTTTACTTATCTACGGTAGTTTTTCATTGTGGTGACACACAATGGCCTCAGAGGAGAAGAGGGCCGTGACCTGCTGAGAGGAGCACCACTGCAGCGCCCACGGGGATACTCTCCCCTCACATGCAAACCTTTATTGTGGGCATGCCTCCAGCATGCCACTCCAATCCAGATCTTCCCGGGCATCATGATTTCAGAAAATGGCCAACAGTTAGCACCAGCAGCAAGGCTGCCATTCCGCAACCAACCATGCACACTCAAACCGCTGCACACTAAGGCATGCCAACTTCGTAATCCAATCATTACAACCTGGTTGCTCTTTGATATGAATCATGTTAAATACACCAACATAAGATATTACAAATGCTGTTAGATTTTACTGTAGTGTTCCTTTATAAGACTCCCAGCCCTCCAATAATTGTACAATTATTGGAGGGCCAGAATTATTGGAGTCTAGAATTATTGGAGGGTAAGAATTATTGGCGGGTAGAATTATTGGTGTAGGATTATTGGTGTGGACAGGTCCCTCCTGATGGGGTGAGCTGCTGACATATATACCCTGCTCTGTCATTCCAGGAAATCAATCAAATCCATTATTTTCATTCTGCTTTCAACCATTCAGTGCAAGTCTTCCAGCCTTGCTCTTTCTGCAATCTAGCTTCCGCAACGCCGGCATCATGCCTTTCTAGCATGGTATCAGAGCTACTCTAGGGGGGCATGCTGCCGACAGGGCTAACTTTAGTAAAATGACCCGTCTGATGTCAAGACCGGGTCCTGGCTCCTTGTCTGATTGTCAGACGAAAACTGTAACCTTGTCTAGCTTTCCAGACGAATCCTAAGGGCATGACCAGCGCGCACATTTTGCAAATATTAGTACCTTCACACGTTTCCCGGCTCAAAATATCTCACTGTACCAAAAAACGAATATAAGGCGAGTCTAGTCCGAAGGAGTGGGCCTTCCAGCGCGCGGACACAACCCTCTGCACACAAATTTCTACAGTTCATGGAAAACGAGGTAACTGTTTGCCTCGTCTATCTTCGCACAGAAATTCACGCACAAGCGAAAATTCCTTGCTTGAACGATAATTACTGTAGCGGGCAGGACGCAATGCTGTATCATTGTTCGCGCGTACACTGATTCCAGTAACGTGTGTTAGACGATTCGTCGTACGTGCAGCGGGCATGCCGTCTTGTGTACGGAAGCTGATCTTATCCAGCCTTTTTGTAAAATGCAGTGTTACAAAAGAAAATGTGGTAACCGAATGGGTTTCTGAACTGTAAATGCACGCGCTGGACACGCCCTAAATACTTGTCTGAGAAGATATAAAGCTAGCAAGCAATGTACTCTCCAATATGATTAATATAACCAAGTCATAGCGTGAACAGCTCTAATGGTCCAGTCAGTAGAATATGGAGCAGTGGAAACTGAGGATTCCAGTTCGAATCTTATAGTCTGCTTGCTTCGAGAGTTTTGCCTTCAGTCGAAAAATACTCGATATCTGCAATCTCAGACGAACTGTATAAGGCTGTCTGAGAAATCAGATGAATAGAAAAAGCTTCTCTAAAAAAATCAGACGAAATTAAACAGCATGTCTACGGCATCAGATGAACCAGTAAAAATGTGTTCAGAATCCAGAAATTCAGACCAAAAATTTCTGATAAAGTGAGCCCTGGCTGCCGAAATTCGGTCAGGCACTTATCATCAAAAACGTTTGACAAGGATACTAGCAAGTCAGCATAGGTACGAGCAACTTTCTGGATCAACGGCATGGCACGGTTTGATGAGGAAGTTGACACAGGATACGCGGCGTTTGAAGAGGCCATTATGGCTCAACATGAGCACCTGGAGAACATGATCGCAAGGGCACCACCGACACTTCAAGCATCATTAAGAGTCAAGTTCAACATGCCAAGTCAAGCACAAGACCCATCCACCCGTGAACAGTCACATGCAAGCACTCCGCGTACTAACCAAACTCATGCTTCAAATGTGGATGCAGGGGTTGAAGGTGAAGGAGAGGGAAGCCTACCCCAAGGAGGAGAGTCATCCCAAGGGAGGGATGCATCCTTCCAAGGAGAGGGGAGCTTCCACCCCGAACCTCAATCAATCATGCAAAAGGAAGCAACGGGGAGGGATGACGCGTACGGGAGTGGAACAAATGTGATGGAGCATGGTGATGAGATCGGCGTGGGACGAAACATGAGAGGACAGATTGGTGAAGGGAGTGGTCGAAGCAGTCATGTGGGCATGGAAGGTGTGGGATTCGAATCCTACACTATTGGTGCTCCCCCACTGCGACGTCTTGCTACTAACTCCCATCCCATTGGAGTTCCCGTGATGGGCAGATCTCACCTTTTTGGCAATAATGTCGTACCTCCTCGTGCGCCACGGTCTCAAATGGAAGCTGTACCTGCAGGAAGCATGGGGCGCATGGGGCACGGGATGCAGTCAAGTGGTGTTATGCGACGTGATCAAGTGGAAGTGGTGGAACGTGAAGGCACACAACGCACGATACAACTACCTCGACCATCTAACGTGCCTACGCTCTTCGACCCATCTCCACGCGAGTACACGGAAGAAGACAAGGACAGGTTGTCACGCAAGATGGTGGGAGCAGCAGTGGACAAAGCGTTCACAACAACCCCGTTCGACGGGACTAACTTCCGAGAATGGGCTCTTCGGTTTCGCATGAACGCACGAGTGACAAATCTGTGGGAGTTTTTCGTGACACTACAATACCCGGTTACAATGGCGAATGGAGAAATGCGAGATGCAATGGAACGGCTGGAAGTTCTGCAAGCAGATTACTCACAACGGGCTACGCTGGCTTTTTGGGTGCTGCTACATAGCGTGAGCGCAACGATTCAGCTGCAACTGGACGTATTCCAAGAGTCATACAGTCCGGCATTCGAAGCATGGGAGTATCTGATGGAGACTTACCAGGCGAAGGATTCGGTGGCAAAGGCGTCTCTCCAGAGGCAATTGGACAACCTGAAGATGGGGAGCCAAGAAAGAGTGGAGGAATACATCAACCGAGCAACTGCAATTCGAGACAAGCTGGCAATGGCGGGAAAGATGGTGGATGAAGATTCGTTCACTTTAAATCTGATTACCGGGCTGCCGCCGCATTGGGAGGAGCTAAGGCATTCGGCAATGCTACACGACATCTCGGACAGCTACACACTACAACGAATGATGATTCAGGAACAACGCTACCAAGACCTCATTAGCAAGACCAACCGTGACAAACGTCCTCCGCGCATGGCTGGCCAAGCACGTGGAGATACTTCACCAGCAAAGGAGAGGACCGAGACAAAGGGCAACCAGAATGCGGTTGGGGAGAAACTCAAGGCCAACGAAGGAAGGGGAGGGCGCTCCAACCTTGTGTGTTGGTACTGCAAGGAATCTGGCCACCCGTTCAACAAATGTCCTAAGGCGCCCCCGGGTTGGTCACCACCAGGGTGGGAACCACAAAACAGAGGGAGGACAAACCAGCGCACCTGGAATAGCCGTTCGTCCTCGCCTCGAAGGAGTGAAAGCCCCAAACGTGACAACCAAGCGTCAAAACAGCAAGGGGCAGCCGGGGGAGACAACAAACGCACCGTTACATGCGTTGCAACGGTTCGGTCGTCACAAGCAATGCTACCAACAGCCGGAGGGTCGCTGTGGTTGCTGGACAGCGGATGCAGCCAACACATGACTTCAGAAAAGGATTGGTTTGAGGGTCTAGAGGAGCTAGACGAACCTGTTTACGTGGAGCTTGCTGACGGGAGCCACCTGTTGAGCTCGATGGCGGGAACAATCCGAGCAACGGCACCCGATGGAACAATAGTGCGCTACACGGATGTGCTCTACGTACCTGGCTTGAAGTCCAACTTGCTCTCCTATTGCCAGCTGCACAGGAAAGGAGCTCGGATTCGCACTCGTGATGACGGACGCACGGAGATTACTATGGCGGCTGAAGATGAGCATGTGGTCATTGGGGTTGGAATGATCATGCATGGTGTGCTCATGGTGCAGTATGAGCCTGCACTTACATCTGCCCATGGATCTGACCATTACCATGAGGAAGACACATCGCATGATCATGGTCATAAAGGGCTGAATCCACTTTCAGCGCATGCATCCATCACATACCGCATGGCCCACAAGCGCTTGGGTCACCCATCATACACATCCATGGATGCAACATTTCGAAATGGTGATGTTGAAGGACTCACCATATCCGACAAGACTAACCCTCTCAAACCCCCATGTGACTCATGTCTTCGAGGGAAAATGAGCAAGGCCCCCTTTCCCACAGGAAGTACCAATGCCACAACTCGACCTTTGGAGCTCGTGCATAGCGACATCATGGACCTGGGTGATGCTCACCCTTCACTTCGCTATGTGCTGACGCTCAAGGACGACTACACCAACTACCTGTGGGTGGCGCCGTTGGCTCGCCGGTCCGACATGGCTACAGTTTTCTCGG